CTGCCCGCCCCTCACCCTCATTGCCCGCCCTCACCCTCATTGCCCGCCCCTCACCCTCACAACCCGCCCCTCACTCTCACTGACCGCTCCTCACCCTCACTGCCGGAATCTCACCCTCACTGCCCACCCCTCAAACTCACTGCCTGCCCCTCACCGTCACCATTACTGACGGACCCTCAAATTCACCCACACTGCCCGCCCCTCATCCCCACTGCCCGCCTCTCACCTTCACTGCCCACCCCTCACCTTCACTGGGTGCCCCTCAACCTCACTGCTCGCCCCTCACCTTCGCTACCCGCCCCGCACCCTCACTGCCCGCCCTCACCCTCAAAGCCCGCCCCTCACGCTCACCGCCCGCCCTCACCCTCACCGCCCGCACCTCACCCTCACCGCCCGCACCTCACGCTCACCGCCCGCCCCGCACCCTCACCGCCCGCTCCTCACCCTCACCGCCCGCCCCTCACACTCTCCGGCCGCCCCTCACCCTCACCACTTGCCCCTCAGCCTCACTGCCCGCATTTCACCCTCACTGGCATCCCATCACCCTCACTGGACACCCTTCACCATAACTGACCGCCCCTCACCCTCACTGCCCGCCCCTCACCCTCACTGCCCGCCCCTCACCCTCACTGCCCGCCCCTCACCCTCACCGCCCGCCCCTCACCGCCCGCCCCTCACGCTCACCGCCCGCCCCTCAACCTCGCTGCCCGCCCATGAACCTCAGCCCCGGCCGCTAACCCTCACTGCCCGCCTCTTACCATCACTGCCCGCCCCTCACCCTCACTGTCCGCCCATCACCGTCACCACCCGACCCTCACCCTTACTGCCCGTCCCTCACCCTCACCACCCGCCTCTCACCCTCACTGTCCGCCCATCACCATCATTGGCCGCACCTTCACCCTCACTGCCTGCCCCTCACGCTCACTGCCCGCCCCTCACACACGCCCCAAACTCTCACGACCCGCCCCTCAACGTCACTGCCTGCCCCTTACCCTCACTACCCGCCCCTCACCCTCACTGGCCTCCCCTCATCCTCACTGGGCGCCCTTCACCCTCACTGCCCGCCCCTCACACTCATTGCACGCCCCTCAGCCTCACAGGCCGCCCCTCACCTTCACCACTCGTCCCTCACCCTCATAGCAAAAACAATAATAAATTGGTCATTTTCAATCCCTGACTGTTTGTGGGACATTGCTGTGCGCAATTGGCTGCCGCGTTCGCCCACAAATATACAGTCAATTCACTTTACAGTCTATTCTGTGAAGCGCTTTGGGACGTCCTCCCGACGTGAAAAGCGCTATATCAAATGCAAGGATTATTATTATTATTATTATTATTATTATAGCCCGCCCCTCACCCTCACCGCCCGCTCCTCACCGCCGGCCCTCACTCTCACCGCCCGCCCTTCACCCTCACAGCCCGCCCCTCACCCTCACTGCCCGCCCCTCAACCTCACTGCCCGCGCTCACCCTCACTGCCCGCGCTCACCCTCACTGACCGCCCCTCTCCCTCACTGCCCGTTCCTCACCATCACTGCCCACCCCTCACCCTCACTGTTCGCCCCTCACTCACACTGCCCGCCCCTCACCCGAACATCACTGCCCACCCCTCACCCTCGCTGCCTGCGCCTTACCCTCAGTGCCCAACCCTCACCCTCACCCTCACTGCCCATCCCTGACCCTTTCTGCCCGCCCCTCACCCTGACTGCCCGACCCTCACACTCACTGCCCGCCCCTAACCCTCACAATCCGCCTCTCACCCTCACTGACCGCTCCTCAGCCTCACTGCCCGCCTCTCTCCCTCACCGCCCTCCCTTCACCCTCACTGAGCGCTCCTCCCCCTGACTGCCGGACTCTCACCCTCACTGCACGTCCATCACCCTCACTGCCCACGCTCACCCTCACTGCCCGCCCTTCACCCTCACTGCCCGCCCCTCACCCTCACTGCCTGCCCATCACCCTCACTGACGGACCCTCACCCTCACTGGGCGTCCATCACCCTCACTGACCGCTCCTCATCCTCACTGCCCGCCCCTCACCCTCACCGCCCGCCCCTCACCGCCCGCCCCTCACCATCACTGCCCGCCCTCACCCCCACTGCCCGCCCCTCACCCTCACTGCCCTCCCCTTACCCTCACCACCCGCCCCTCACCCTCACTGGCCTTCCCTCACCCTCACTGGGCGCCGTTCACCCTCACTGCCCGCCCCTCACCCTCACTGCTCGCCCCTCACAGTCACCACCCGCCCCCCACACTCCGTTCCCTCCCCTCACCCTTACCACCCGCCTCTCACCCTCACTGTCCGCCCCTCACACTCACTGGCCGCACCTTCACCCAAACTGCCTACCCCTCACTGCCCGCCCCTCACCATCCGCCCCTATATCTCACTGCCCGCCCCTCATCCTCACTGCCTGCCCCTCACTGCCTGCCCCTCACCCTCACTGCCCACCCACTTACCCTCACCACCCGCCCTCACCCTCACTGGCCTCCCCTCACCCTCACTGGGCGCCCTTCAACCTCACTGCCCGCCCTTCACCCTCACAGCCCGCCCCTCACCCTCACCACTCGCCCCTCACCCTCACTGCCCGCATCTCACTCTCACTGCCCGCCCCTCATCCTCACTGTCCGCCACTCACCCTCGCTGTCCGCCCCTTACTATCACTGCTCGCCCCTCACCCTTACTGCCCGCCCATCACCGTCACCACCCGCCCCTCACCCTCACTGCCGGCCCCTCATCCTCACCACCCGCCTCTCACCCTCACTGTGCGCCCCTGACACTCACTGCCCACCCCACACAATCATCACCCGCCCCTCACCCTCAATGCTCGCCCCACACCCTCACCACCCGCCTTGCACCCTCACTGTCCGCCCCTCACCCTCACTGGACTCTCCTCACCCTCACTACCCGCCCCTCACCCTCACTGCCCGTCCATCACCCTCACTGCCCGCCCCTCACCCTCACTACCCGCCCCTCACCCTCACTGCCCGTCACTCACCCTCACCGCCCGCCTCGCACCCTCACTGTCCGCCCCTCACCCTCACTGGCTGCACCTTCACCCTCACTGCCTGCCCCTCACCCTCACTGCCCGCCCCTCACCCTCACCACCCGCCCCTCACTCTCACTGCCCGCCCCTCACACTCACTGGCTGCCCCTAACTGCCTTGCCCTTCACACTCAATGCCCGCCCCATACCCTCACCACCCGCCTCTCACCCTCACTGGCCTCCCCTCACCCTCACTGGGCGCCCTTCACCCTCACTGACCGCTCCTCACTCTCACTGCCCGCCCCTCATCCTCACTGCCCGCCCCTCATCCTCACTGCCCGCCCCTTACCCTCACTGCCCACCCTTCACTGTACGCTCCTCACCCTCACTGGCTGCACCTTCACCCTCATTGCCTGCCCCACACCCGCACTGCCCGCCCCTCACCCTCACCACCGGCCCCTCACTCTCACTGCCCGCACATTACACTCACTGGAATCCCCTCACCCTCACTACCCGCCCCTCACCCTCACTGCCCGCCACTCACCCTCACCACCCGCCTCTTACCCTCACTGCCCACCCTTCACCGCCCGCCCCTCACCCTCACCGCCCGCTCCTCACCGTCACTGCCTGCCCTTCACCCTCACAGCCCGCCCCTCAACCTCACCGGCCGCCACTCACCCTCACCACCCGCCCCTCACTCTCACTGCCCGCCCCTCACCCTCACTGCCTGCCCCTAATTGCCTGCCCTTCACCCTCAATGTCCGCCCCTTACCCTCACCACCCGCCTCTCACCCTCACTGGCCTCCCCTCACCCTCACTGGGCGCCCTTCACCCTCACTGACTGCTCCTCACTCTCACTGCCAGCCCCTCACCCTCACTGCCCGCCCCTCACCCTCACTGCCCATCCCTCACCCTCACTGCCCATCACTCACCTCATTGCTCTGTTGCTTCTCAATGACGGCAGAGCGTCCTTCGCATCAACTTCCGTCATCCATCTCTCGCTCCATCTCACACTCGCTCTCTCTTTAGCTCTCAGTCTCTCTCTCTCTCACACACACGGTTTTCTCACTTGTTTTCACTATATGTTCACCATTATACACTCAGCGTCTCACACACTCTCTCCCACTGCCTTTCACACTCTCTCCCCCTTTTACAGATACACACACATTCTCTCCCTCTAACACATTCTATTTCTTTCTCTCCCTTTCAGCACTCCACCCCTCACTCTCCACCCTCTCACACCCTCTCCCCCTCACTCTCCACCCCTCACACCCTCTCCCCCCTCAAACCCTCCCCCTCACACCCTCTCCCCCCCTCACACCCTCCTCCCTCACACCCTCCCCCTCCACCCTCAGATCCTCTGCACCCCCTCCCCCTCTCCCTCCTCACACCCTCCCCCCTCCTCACACCCTCTCCCCCCCTCACACCCTCTCCCCCACTCACACCCTCTCACCGCTTCACACCCTCCCCCCTCACACCCTCTCCCCCTCACACCCTCTCCCACCCTCACACCCTCTCCCACCCCCTCACACCCTACCCCTCCGCCCTGCCCCCTCACACCCTCCCCCTCCCCCTCACGCCCTCCCCCCTCCCCCCTCACACCTCTCCCCGCCCTCACACCCTCTCCCCCCGCACACCCTCTCCACCCCCTAACGGCATCTCCCCCCTTCACGCCCGCTCCCCCCTCACGCCCTCTCCCCCCTCACGCCCTCTCCCCCTAACGCACTCTCCCCCCCCCTCCCCCCCTCACACCCTCCCCCTCACACCCTCTCGCCCCCTCGCACATTCCCCCCCTCACAACCTCTCCCCCCCTTCACACCCTCTCCACCCCCTCACGCCCTCTCCCCCCTCACGCCCGCTCCCCCTCATGCCCTCTCCCCCCCTCACGCACTCTTCCCCCTCCCCCCCCCTCACACCCTCCCCCCACCCCCCTCCCCCCCTCATACTCTCACCCTGTGACTGAGAGCGGAGGGACCATAATGACACAGCCTCGGCTCAGGCTCTCACTCACACGGGTACCTGGGTTCCTGGCCGGCTCTGGCATGCTGCTGGCACCGTCTGCTCTTTGTGTGTTGTGCTGGGCTCTCTCCAGTATGGGGGCTATGCTGGGTGCTCCTGCCTGGGTGCTGTGCTGGGGGCTCTTGGCTGGTGGCTGTGCTGGGGGCTCCTGCCTGGGTCTGTGCTGAGGGCTGGGGTCTGTACTGGGAGCTCCTGGCTGGGGGCTGTGCTGGAGGCTCTTGGCTGGGGGCAGTAGTGGGGGCTCCTGGCTGGGGGCTGGGGGCTCCTGGCTGGGAGCTGTACTGGGGGCTCCTGGCTGGGGGCTCCTGGCTGGGGGCTCCTGGCTAGGGGCTGTACTTGGGGCTCCTGGCTGGGGGCTCCTGGCTAGGGGCTGTGCTGGGGGCTCCTGGCTGGAGGCTGGGGGTTCCTGGCTGGGGGCTGTGCTGGGGGCTCCTGGCTGGAGGCTGGGGGCTCCTAGCTGGGGGCTGTGCTGGGTGCTGGGGGCTGTACTGGGAGCTCCTGGCTGGGGGCTCCGGGCTGGGGGCTGGGGGCTCCTGGCTGGGGGCTGGGGGCTCCGGGCTGGGAGCTGTACTGGGGGCTCCTGGCTGGGGGCTGGGGGCTCCTGGCTGGGAGCTGTACTGGGGTTCCTGGCTGGGCTGGGGGCTCCTGGCTGGGGGTTGTACTGGGGGCTCCTGGCTGGGGGGTGTACTGGGGGTTCCTGGCTGGGGGCTGGGGTCTCCTGGCTGGGGGCTGTGCTGGGGGCTGTACTGGGAGCTCCTGGCTGAGGGCTGTTGGCTCCTGGCTGGGAGCTGTACTGGGGGCTCTGGCTGGGGGCTGGGAGCTCCTTGCTGGGGGCTGTACTAGGGGCGCCTGGCTGGAGGCTCCTGGCTGGGGCTGTGCTGGGGCTCCTGGCTGGAGGCTGGGGGCTCCTGGCTGGGGGCTGTGCTGGGGGCTCCTGGCTGGGGGCTGTGCTGGGGGCTCCTGGCTGGGGGCTGTGCTGGGGGCTCCTGGCTGGGGGCTGTGCTGGGGGCTCCTGGCTGGGGGCTGTGCTGGGGGCTCCTGGCTGGGGGCTGTGCTGGGGGCTCCTGGCTGGGGGCTGTAGTGGGGTCTCTCTCCTGGCTCTATGTCTCTCCTCTTCCAACAACCTTGTGCATCAGACGGAGACAATTTAAAGGCCAGGCTCCACACGTGACACGGAAGCT